TGCCTGTAGTCCCACATTTGGGAGGTGGAAGAAGGAGGATCAGGAGTTCAAGGTCAGCCTCCACTACATAGGGAGTTTGAGGTCAATCTGGGCTACAGGAGATCCTGTCTGGAGGAGGAGGAATGTGTTTCAAGGACCGCCTTCTCTCTCTCTCTCTCTCTCTCTCTCTCTCTCTCTCTCTCTCTCTCTCTCTCTCTCTCTCTCTCTTTCTCTTGAGGCACAGTCTCAGAACTCACTATGTAGACCAGGCTGGCTTTGAACTCACAGACCCTCATACCCCTGTCTTCTGAAAGCTGGGATTAAAGGCATGTACTGTACCACACCTGGCTCCAGGGGCTGATTCTTTCTTTCTTTCTTTCTTTCTTTCTTTATTTATTTATTTATTTGGTTTTTTGAGACAGGGTTTCTCTGTGGCTTTGGAGGCTGTCCTGGAACTCGCTTGGTAGTCCAGGCTGGTCTCGAACTCACCCAGGGGCTGCTGATTCTTATTCTCTGTTGTTCTTTTTGTCTCACAGATATGATCTCTTCCTGCATGGAGTTACTGGGTAGCACCATGCTATTGGTGGTGGAGCACACCTTTTTTGAATCAGTAGTTTCTGGGGCTATCTGGTAAAGTACATAAGCAAGAATAATGCCTTTAAATCTATAGAAAAATACCAAAAACTACCATCATGCTGTAATACAATTTACTAGCTATGTTACATTCACTTAATATTAAAGTGCCTAGAGGGGCAGTGGTGGCGCACCCCTTTAATCCCTGCACTCGGGAGGCAGAGTTGGTGGATCTCTGTGAGTTCGAGGCCATCCTGGTCTACAGAGTGAGTTCCAGGACAGCCTCCAAAGCAATACAGAGAAACCCTGTCTCGAAAAACCAAAAATAGAAAAGAAAGAGAAGGGAGAGGGAGGGAGGGAGGGAGGGAGGGAGGGAGGGAGGGAGAGAGAGAGAGAGAGAGAGAGAGAGAGAGAGAGAGAGAGAGAGAGAGAGAGAGAGAGAGATAAAGCAACGAACAAACTTCCATTTGGGGGCTAGAGAAATGGCTCAGTAGTTAAGAGCATTGGCTGATCTTCCAGAGGACCCACATGGCAGCTCATAACTGTTTGTAACTACAGTTCCAGAGGATCTGACACCCTCACACAGACATACATGCAGGCAAAACACTAATGCACATAAAATAAATCTTTTGTTTTAAAGAGGAAACTGCCATTTGATTGGCTCTAATAGCAGCTCCTCATAAAGCTGCAAACATGCAAACATCAAAAAAGAAAAAAGGAAGCCGGGCGGAGGTGGCGCACGCCTTTAATCCCAGCACTCGGGAGGCAGAGGCAGGCGGATCTCTGTGAGTTCGAGGCCGAGCTGGACCGACAGCCTCCAAAACAATACAGAGAAACCCTGTCTCGTAAAACCAAAAAAAAAAAAAAAAAAGGAAATATCATTTCAATTAGTGATTTGTGGAACGCATGATGCATTTCCTCACCCAACCCTGCAGAACCTCCTGAACTTTTTTTGTACACCCTGGAAAGCCTGTGGGTACCAGGTTGCACCCCTGACCTCATCCTACAATGCTATGAATTATGTCTTTAGTCTTCTAAACTGTGGCAGCTCCTTAGTTTTCACTAAATCCTGGCTCTTTTTACAGAAAACAGGTCAAACCCTTCAGAACATTTCCCTCTGTTAGGGTTAGTCTGAGGTTTCCTGATTAGATTCAGATGCAGTGTGTTGGTCTGTCTTTCGGTCTCTCTGTTTTGTGACCAGGTTCAATCCAGGGTCTCCCCCTAAGTGTTCTACTGAGCCATCCCACCTGCCTCAGGTGCAGTTTCGTTTGTTTGTTTGTTTACTTATTTACTTTTAAAGACAGTCTCACCACGTAGCTAAGGATGGCCTTGAACTCACTTTGTACCCCAGTTGGGCTTGAAGCATTCACTCTTCCTGCCTCAGCCTCCCTACTGGGATTACAGGCATGTGCCACCAATCCTGCTTCAGCACTCCTGACACTTGAAACCTATGTTGCAGCATGACCATGTCAGTTACTTCCATCCCTTGGCCAGGCTGTGCCCCAGCATTCACCTGCAGGGTACTGATCAGGGAAAGGTATTGTGAGCCTGTTCCCCATTGTTCGGAGGTCTTTGCACAGACTCTATTTTTAATTATGCCTGACCATAAGGGTTTTATGGTTTTGCTCTGTAGAGTGGCTAGAATCTTTCTTTATATTTACTATTTGTAGACCCAGGAAACTGCCGCTCTGTGCGTATCTCTTACTGTCAGCCTCTGCGTGGGCTTCTCTAAGGCTACAAGTTTGGTCTACTGGCCAGCACTCTGTTCTTACGGAGTGGCCATTCCAAGACCACATGAAATGGAGGACTGCCATTGGCTTATAATGCCATTTTCAGTCGAGCAAGTGTTGATTCCCAAGCAATACCTCTTTGAAATGCTGCCTCTTTGAAATCTTTGCTGCTTCAAATGCTCATGACCCTTTAAGCTAGCAAGGCCAAGTTGAAATTGCTCTGACCTCGCCACCATAAATCAGGTGACTGTTCCTGAGTTCTGGCCACGTTTTCTCCTGCCTTCCCTCAGGGAAGAAATCATGGGTGTGTACTAATGTTCAGTTCCAGCCTCAACTGGAGCATGCAGTGAAGAAAGAACTTCATCTCCCGGGAACATGACCCTTGAGCCTTTTGTTTCTGAATTCCAGGAGAGAGAAATTCCTGCATGGGGCTAGGTGTGTAGCTCAGTGGGAGAATACCTGCTAAGCATAAAAAAAGCCCTGGGTCCTGTATCCAGTACTGAAAGGCTAAGGTTGGCACGTGGTGAAATTTCAGCGTTCCCAGTCCCAAGGATTTCCTAGAAGCCACCTGCCACAAAGCACAGGATTTCTCTCAAGTCACATTCTAGAAAGAGAAACTGTGCCAGGTTAGTCTTGCTCTGTTCTCTGTTCGGCTTCTTACACTCTACTAAATTAATTTGAAAGAGACATGCAGTGCATAGTATAGACTGATGATTACAGTAAAGAGAATGAATAAACCAAAGCACTTCCAAGGCAAAGAGTGGGCAATGACCAGAGGGGCCACTGCTTGGACTGACATTACAAAATGGACTTTATACTGGTTCTTACGTGTCTGGGGCACAAGGAGAGAGGCCCATCTTTGATGTCCACCAAGCCTGTGGATATTTATCTAGCTACATAAAAGAAACAACACTGTGCATGTATTTAACTGCTCCTTACCATTCTGAGATCAGGTCTTGCTATGTAGTCATGCTGCTTAGCAACACACCCCCAACACCCACACCTACAGTGAAGGACTATGGGTTGATTTCAAGGCCTGACCTTCCACCTGAACCCTCAAAACACAATTTTCTAATTAAGATATTATTTGTATATGTGATGTATGTATATGTGTGCCACGAAGCACTCTGAAGGTCAGAGGACAATCTTGGGTGTCCATCCTTGCCTTCTACCTTGTTTGAAAAAGGGTCTCTTTTCTATGTTCTTTGCCGCCATACATACTGTGTGAGTTGGCCCACACATTGTCTTGTCTCTGCCTCCCTTTTGACCATATAAGCACTGGAATTACAGATGTGAGTTACTGAGCCTGGCATTGCGTGGTTCTGGGATTCAAACTCGGGTACTCAGGCTTGCACTGCAAGTGTTTTGATCCAATGAACCCTATCCGCAGCCCTGAACTTTAAAAAAAGAATGTGACAACCTGAGAATTGTTGGGAGGCAGAGGCCCCAAGCAGTGACCAGAAATGATTAAAAGCCCCTTGGGACTTTGGGGAATCAAGGTGCTGGGTTTGTCTCTCAGATGTACTTCTTAGGCTCTTGGTCTAAGTGTGATACTAGCACATGGCAGACCTTTCAGAGGTAGTTAAGGTAACCCAAATATCTGAATTCAGAACTCATTGCTGCTGGACACTTACAGATGCCAATGAAGAGACCAGAACTCAATCCTGGGGCTGGAAAGATGGCTCAGCAGACCTGGGTTTGGTTCCCAGAGCCCACATGGCAGCTCCCAACCATCTGCAACTCCAGTGCCAGGGGTTCAGATGTCCTCTTCTAACCTCTGGGGAATTGCAGACATATACATATACAGACACACACACACACACACACACACACACACACACACACACACACACACACACGAAACATTTATACACATAAAATAAAAAACTTAAAGGAGTGAAACTTTAAACTGCTCTCTATTCAGAGAGGCTCAGTCTGAGAAAACAGGGACTATCATTCTCAAAGTCTGGCTTCTCCTGTAGCAGGTTAATTATATGGGAAGGGGAAACTCTAGTCTGGTCTCACTCAGTGGTTGGGCTCGAATCTGAGTTCTGCTTTTCTTTCATTCTCTGTGTGTGAGATACAGGGGTGTTCACCAAGGCTACAAAGTCTTGCATTCATCCTGAGACATCAAGATTGCAGGTTAACTCAGAACAAACCAGTAGGTGGATATATATGCATTTTTCTTCCAAAGACATACAAATATGCTCTTACAATTTAGAATATGGATATAAAGCATCCCGAGCTGTCATCTACAGTGGAGCTTACTGTGAGGTCATAACTAATTCCTCAGCTTCCTGTGTGGCCTACTCCCTTCTTGCTCTTCCCTGCCTCTCCCTGCCCATGTTCCTACCATTGAATTGTCACCCACCATGAGGATCACAAACTAACACCAGCATCATACTTTGACCTGAAAGCTGCAATTAAATAAACCTCTTTTTTTATCTTCTAGCTGTCCTGGAACTAGCTCTTGTAGACCAAGCTGGTCTTGAACTCACAGAAATCCACCTGCCTCTGCATCCCAAGTGCTGGAGTTAAAGGCGTGCGTCACCATTGCCCAGATAAACCTGTTTTCTTTATAAATGTACCCAGCCTCAGGTTATTTCATTAGTGTTTGATAACTGACAAATACAAGGTTATAAGGCTTTTTTCTTGCTCTGTTGTTCTGTATATCACCCTAAATGCTCATAATAGTCAGCTATAACCAAATGCAAATGCTTGATTTTTTATTTTTATTTTTTTTATGAGTGAACATCAGTGGAAATAGCATGCTATATGCTTAGAGAACAAAGCAGAAAGAAGAGTAACACATCCTGAGAGGCAAGTGAAACTGATAACACGACAGAATCAGAAATGTAGAGCAAATGATGATTTGGAGACACAAATGTTTCATGAGATCCTGAGATGCTGGGGTGGTACTGCGTACTAGGCATCCCACTGCAGATAGGAGGGGGCAGAAGAAACTGCATGTGAGTATCATGAGGCCCAACCCACTGGGATGGCAGAGATGTGGGACACGGTCGAGCCTGCAGGGTCCCTCCTTGGTTAAGCTACACTGTGCCTTCCTTGAAGAACTGCTCTGTGGCTCCTTCCTTGACAAGAGATCCATCTTCCAAAAGTAACTTTTCTTTTCTGGAGCTTTTGAGATGTGCCACACTATGCGTAGGGAAAGATTAGCAACAGGAGACCCACGTGCTGTGCAGTTGGATTGTCTGAATGGAACGATGAAATACAATAGCCACTCAATGACCTAGGCTGGGAAAACATTTCTGAAATAAAAAAGAGCTCCACCTTACTTTGGAAAAAACACATCATGTACCGGTGAGATGGCTCAGCTGATGAAAGTGCCTGCCAGGAAGCTTGATGGCCTGAGCTTGATCCTCGGGTCCCCCAGCAGAAGGACAGAACTGTCCTCCAGAAATGCCTCTCTCTGCTTCTCAAGTATGCACACTAACCTGGGACACATACGCCAGCAAAAAGGAAGAACCGCCATCCAAGAGAAGCACAGAGACAACTGAGGAATGGAGGCCTCCAAAGGAAGCCTCGTAGGAGGGGGCTTGAGCAAGTAGCAGGGGTCACTCGGGCAGACGCTCACTCACAAGGGGGTATCGTATCCGTGAGGTGCACAAACACAGGGCAAAGTCAGACAGCCATTCTTTTCAATTCAAAGCTGATGAGAAAAGCTGTTGTGCCCTCAGCTTGCCTGGCAGATACAGGCTGGGCACATAAGGAGCTTCATGTCCCCCTGCTCTGAACTGTGGTGGATCTAGATGCAGAACAGGCCTTGCTGACAAAATCCCTTATGACGTGCAAAGGCAAGGGCCAGGGACTGCCAGGGTACCAGCCCAGCTCCCCCACCTTGAAGGGAGTCCCAGAGACTCCTTTTGTCCCGGGTTATAGAGGGGGTAAGTTAAAGTCTTGGCAGGCAGCACACTGCCCCAGTACAGGCAGCTGGTAGGGCTGGGAGGAAGTGGAGCCAAGGACTAGTGTGGTGAACACTGCAGAGTCCGAGAGGTCACACGGCAGCTCCAGGTTCAGGATGCCCTGCAATTCCACAGAGTCTGAGAGGTCACACGGCAGCTCCAGGTTCAGGATGCCCTGCAATTCCACTGAGTCTGAGAATGAGCAGACAGCCCCCCCTGTCTCCTACCCAGGCCTCTTCCTGCCAGCTTGTCCAATCCATTTGTCCCGAGTGTGGCCACACATCAGACTAGAGCAAGCCTGGGGTAGAGGCAGATGCCAAACTTCTCCTTGAAGTATGTAATCTTTACCCTTCCTCTTTGTCCTCATTCTGGTGGGGGTGGTCAGCGGGGCCAAGCGGCACTGAATTCCTTCTCCAGATCCTGGACAAACTGGTCATTGAGGAAAAGCAGCTGTCCATGCGGCAGGAAGCGGGTGAGGATTCCCTCAATGCGGTCAGACCGCAACAAGAAGTTGTTACCTGGTGTGAGTAACCGGAGGTGGTCAAGAAGGAGGCGGGCCAACAGCCGGAGTGTACTCTCAGCCAGGAGCAAGTTCTCGTGGGTGTCCAGCACCAGGGCAAAGCCTAGGGAGAGCACACCCAGCCACACCACCGTCTGCGGCTCCTGGAAAGGGTCCCCGGCTCTCAGGAAGAAGGCTCCGTGAGGGGCCTCGTGCAGGGACACAGGCTCATCTGAGAACTGAGGCTGCAGGTCTGTGGAGGGACATCCAGATGCTTGCTGCTGCAGCCTGCATAGTGACTCCACCTGTCTGGAAGAGGAGTCCGGTCAGTCTGGCAGCTGAGAGGCCTGCTAAGACCACCAAGGCATCCCCACACACACATAGATACTTCTGTCAACTTGACAACTTCCCCTGTAGCTGGGAGCTGCCAATATCTCGTGTCTTGGGTAAGGAAACTTAGGCTTAGAAAGCTTAAGAGATCTGCCCAAGGACACAGAGCCAGAGAAATGTGATGATACGGAAATCCAGACTGCAGTCTGCAGGCTCCAAATCACTTTACTCTAAATGGCCAAGAGAAGACAGGATCTGAACACAGCTCCTCAGCCTGGGAAAAGGACTGGGGGTGAGGTCTTGTCTTACCTGCCTCGAAGAAGCCTCCTCAACAGAGAGACAAATAAGTGATGAGAAGAACATAGTTATCCAACGGGGCCATCTGACCTGTCAACCACTCACCCTTCTTCTCTAAGTCATAAGCACCTCCCACATAACTGTCAAGCCTTCCCCTCAGTCATCTTCTCGATTAGGCTTTAAAGCCATTTGTTTAACCAGATATGGTGATGCATGCCTATACTCCCAGCATTGGGAGGCTGAAGCAGGCTTATAGACATCCTGGAATACAGAGAGGTAGAGGCCAGCCTGAACTAGATAATTAGGCTCTATCTCAAAACCAAACAAATAACTCTAACAGGCCACTGTTTAGTTCTTTTTCTATGCTGCAAGAGGGGAGTCAGGTCAAGGATAAGGGGGTGGCAGGAGCTGGCAAAGAGCTGCCCACTTCATATGGGTCTGGGATGGAAAGACCCCCGCCTAGTCACTTCCCTTATACGGTGTTTCCCTACACTGCTCTGAGTCTCTGGCATTCAGCAGCCCTGAGCAGAGTCCTAACATGTTCTCTCTCTTTTGAAGATCTCCATTGTAAAGCATGTTTCTCCTGCACGAGTCTGCCTGCCTATACTCAAATCTCCATTTCTAGCCACTTTTTAGATGCATAACCTTGGGCAGGCTAAGTTCCTTAAACACTCTGTATTTTAGTTTATTCTTCTGCAAAGTGAAGATAATAACCATAACCACCTCAGAAAACTGTGAGGATTGAATAACATACATGAAATTCCCAGAACCATCATAATGCTAATCACACTCTTTCTTTGACTCTTATAAACCATGGGAGACAGGGAAACATTCCAATTCTTAATCTTCCTTCACTGTCCTATTCCAGCAACCCTCATAATCTGCTCTGTGTGGGCTGTGACGTTACCTGGCCACCGCCAAAATCTGTTCCTTGCGGAAGAGCCTGTCCCTTTCTGCACCGTGTGGCCGTGGATCATCAGGTGACTTCTCAGCACCAAAGACACAGGAGTAGAGCACTCGGCAAAGGCCTGTATCTTCCAAATTCGGGGCCCTCAAGGTGTGGATGAGGAAGGCATGGACCATGGCTCCAGGTGGGTGGGTGCCCCAGAGACACCAGAGACCTAGGGGGTGAAAGTGTAGGTACCCTCAAGAAGGGTGTGGCCTGAGAGCATTCCAGAAAGTGTTGTGGCTGGACGCTGATCACTCATCTACTTAGATATGCCTAACCTCTAAAAAATGGACCGTCTTGTCTGCATCACAGAACAAGGCCCATGGCTGGAGATATCTCCTACAACACTAAACCTACTTCTGTAAAACTATCCGGAAATCTCCAAAAGCATCAAGGTCATGAGAGTGCAGGAAAAACTGACCGACTGAAGGAAATCAGAGACCACAGCTGAATGTAATGCCTGCTCCTGGAACAAAAATAACCCAGGCTTCACACCGTGCACCACGAAGACAACTTTAAGAGCCGGGCGGTGGTGGCGCACGCCTTTAATCCCAGCACTCGGGAGGCAGAGGCAGGTGGATTTCTGTGAGTTCGAGACCAGCCTGGACTACCAAGCGAGTTCCAGGACAGCCTCCAAAGCCACAGAGAAACCCTGTCTCGAAAAAAAAAAAGAATGAAATATGAGACGGAAGTCTTGATCAAAGTCATTTGGTTTTAAATATAGGAATATGCCTTTGTTTTAGAAAGAAAATACTTCTAAATGCCGTATTTGCAAATGACTCTCATCATTTGGGAGTACAAGAGAATGTGAGACAAACCTTATCCAAAGGGATCTATCCAAAATAGATAACCAAAACTATTTCAAAAATAAGACATGGTGGCACATACCTGAAATCCCAGCAATCGGGAGGAGGGGCAAGGCAAGAGGATCAGGAATTCAAGTCAGTCACAGATACATGGGGAGTCCCTGGCTGCTGGACAACGTGGGACAGTGGCAACCCTGGGGTCGCAAGTCTGAGAGGACTCAATGGTTACCCAACAGTAAAGTTCGCAAACCCGCTTCAGGAAGAGAAGCTAGATTTGTAAGCCTTGACCTCTGGTCATCTTTCTGCCGCCAGCAGGGCGCGTCATCATTCCCGGCCACCATGCTCCCCCTTCCTCTGACGGCTCCACTTGCGTCATTGCCTCGCGCGGGCAGCGGCGCGCTGGACTCTGGGGGTTGTAGTGCGAACGCAGTCCTGACCAGGCCTGTGGTCCGGGCGTGGCGCCCTACTGCGCAAGGGCGCGGAGGCTTCTCACCCGCCAACCCCGCGGCTGCGAGTGAGGATTCCTGGCCCGCGCGGGCGAGCTTCTTTGGAGGCGCTAGAAAGCCCTTGACTAGCTGCGGCCTGGGCACCGCGAGGATGGCCGCCAGGGGGCGGTGAGGCCGCCGCGACTTGAGCGGAACTTTCCGCGGAGGCCTCTGCACAGCTAACCCTTAGCTACGCTGTGTGCAGTGGTAATGACGGAATCTCAGGAGACCTGCCTGCCTGCGGAAACTCACATCAGAATGTGGTGACTTTGGAAGGCAGTACGAATATGTAGGCATTGTTGGTTCCGTCAGTGGCTTAAGGCTGCTCCTGGATTTGACATAGGATTCCAACTCCAATCCCAACTTTGTTGTAGTTGTGTTTCCCTGGCAGGTCTGCCAACTTTGTTAGGCCCCAGTGAAACCCCATATAGCGACAGCTGGGGCAAGTGTTTAAGGCTATTTTTCCCTTTTGTAGCCGCTGCATAACTCCTCACAGGGAGACCATCAAAGGGACTTACAACGTAAGAGACCTAAAACCAAAGTTTGGGTCAGGTGGTGCCAGGCACCAGCTCTAGGGAAGAGATCCAGTCTGGAAGCCTTGCCCCTAGAGATGTTTGGGGCAAAGATGCACACACATTCTTTTACCTCTTGCAAGGCATGTGAATTCCTTAGGTTTCCTTATGTCCCAGTGTTTTGTGCCTCAAAGTCCCCACCACGGCTGTCTCCTCACATTAGAATCCCTTTCCCTTTCTAAATGACTGTGACCAAAACTTTTGTCTCTAGTGGGCTATGCATCTCTGCCACTGTTCCCATCTTCACTCCCCAAGGCCAGGACTGTAGTTACTTGAAAACTGTCTGGTGACAAAAACATGAAAGAGCAGAGCGGTTCAGGCAGAGGTTCTGAAGAAAGGCCTTCCCGAAGGAATGCATTCTGGAACCTTTAGGCCACAAGAACGGGCAGTTCGCAGGGGGGATAGGTAGTGTACAGGCTGGGGAGGGCTTGATGTCGGGTGAAGGGTGGGCCCAGAGGCAGTGGGGCCTCAATCAGAGAACTAGAGAATGGTATTGGCTCCATTCTTGGCGATGGTTCCTGGCCCCCAGTCCCTATCACTCTGGGCCAGGCCTCATGCTGCCAGCAGATTGTAGTAAAGAACTGGCAGAGGTCTGTGGCTGCTGGGGGCATTGGGAGCATGACATGCTGGCCTCTGTTCACCACTCAGGCAGTCCATGTCAGGACGAAGACCACTGGGAACTTGACCTTGTGTGGGATGTGTGGAGAAGAGTGCATTGAGCATTTACCCTGGAAGACAGTGGAGGACCCAGATGAGCCTCCCTGGTGAGCACCGGGGCAGGCAGCAGTGGAGGTCTCACCACCTGATGGTTTTGCTTAAGGGCTGTGTGGGAGTGCCCTGGGAGATCTTTTCCCAGTGGCCACTGACCTCTTCTGACTTAACCTATGCTTCAGAGTCTGTTGTTGGTCCCCACAGGAAATATTCACCCACGCCGACTCTGACATGACCCAAAGCATCCAGTTCAGCAGTGTCCACTTCATGTTAACCCTGCACTTTACCATCTAGAAAAATCCACTAAAATAATAATTTACTTCGTGTTCTTTTGTTGTTGTTTCTCTCTGTTTGTATAGCCCTGGCTGGCCTCAAACTCAGAGATCCACCTGCTTCTGCCTCCCAAGTGCCAGTATTAAAGGTGTGAATCATCACTTCCCAGCTTGAATTCTGGTTTTAAAATGAACTAAGAGCCTGAAAGTGCATGCCTTCAATCCCAGCACTGGAGAGGCAGAGACCAGCTAAGGATACATAGTGAGATGTTTCTCAAAAAGAAATAAATAAGCTAAGAATGTAATAGAATCCTTTCCCTGCGCTGCAAAGATACAAGACTTGAGTTAAGCATGGTTCACGTTTATAATATAAAAAGAAAGTTGGGCATAGTCTCTCCTTTGGCAGATGACTAAGTCATACATTACAGTGCTGAATGGAAAGTATTTGGAGCATGAGCTCTGCTTCCCACAGCAGCCAGCATGGAGGGAAGAGAGGAAGAGGGGAGAATGTGAACAAGATGGTGAAGGATGGACATGACCTGAAAGAGAACAGCGATGCTGATGTGGTGCCATCGCAAGAATGCTTTCCCTGGGGAGACACAAACAAACCTGCCCTGCTTCTGTACAGAGCATGACGACAAAACAGAGGTTCCACCAGCACCCAACTTGGGGAAAGCAAGAGTTTCACCAGCCTGTTTATTATGCACAACACAGGGGGAGTGGCTGCTAGTCTCAGTAGGCAGTCTCTGGAGGTGAACAGTCTCAGGCTGTACCATCCAGGAGGAGGACGCCAGAGTTGCTAGTCTTTGCACACACTGATCGGTCGGTCATAAACACTTACACACTGACTCCTTGGGAAAGATTTGCCATCCCTCTTATGCCTGGCCCATATGTGCTTTGCAAATTTCCCATGAGTCAATTGCAGTACTTGACAGGTTGTGCCCTTGTCAAAAGATACATTCGCTGGGAACTTCCCTCACACAGTGCTTCCTCCTTCCTCCCCTCCCTGTGGGAGTGCTAACAATCAACAAGCCTGATCTTGGGAGTCTCTTGCAAAGACTCATGACTGTTCTGATGAAAAGGATGGCTGTTCTCCTTGGAGGATAGCATTCTACAACAGGTTCAGACGCTTGGAATCACTGTACTTGGGAGCTAAAGGCAAGAAGATAATGAGTTCAAGGTCAGCCTCAGCTACATAATGAATTTGAGGCCAACCTGAGTTACTCATGACACTGTCTAAAACTGGAGGTCAGGAGGAGGAAAGTGTGCTATCCATCCATGCATGAGCTGAGGACAGTCCTCTGCATACACAGAGAAACCATGTGTGTTCAAACACACACACACACACACACACACACACACACACACACACACACACACACACGGGGGAGGGGGGGGATTGTTTGACCCTACAGGAGCAATCTGTGCAGACTGCATGGAGGAGGTAATATCTGCGGATTGACTTGTAGCAAATGCACATGGTGAGAAGAAGCCAGTCTTCCTAGGTTCAGACTCATAACCTTGCAGTGATATCCCAAGGACCAGAGTCCCATGAAAACTTTCTCTCCAGCACTGGAGCACTGAAGGCACCACCTGATATGGGGTTCAAACAACCACGTCATGCATGGACGTGGAGCACAGACTTGCATGCAGGTAAAGCACTCATGCACATAAAGAAATAACTTTTAAGCTGCAGTTTTGTCTGGGTAGGACTTATGGTGTCATTATCTGACCTTCTGCAGCCCTCAGCCATTTGTGACCCATGAGGCTGAAAGACCTAGCTGCAGACAGTAGTGGAAAGCGGCCTGGGGCCTGGAAGTGCTGCAGTCATGCCACATGATGCTCACATACGGGTTCTGCACATGGAGCCAAAAGTACCCTAGCTGATGCAGCATGGGAAGTGGGCAGAGGGGAGCCTGGCATCTGGTAAGGACTCAGTGACCCAGAGGCAGATGGGGACGGCATTTACTAACCCCAGGAAGACAGGTACCAATGGCAGCTCATAGCCTAGGGGTGGGGTGGGAAGGGACAGGCCAGACACACTGGGTTATGGGGCCTCTCCTGAGGATAGAGCAGAAGCATCTGAATATCATGGGACAATGATCTGCATACTGGTTATGTGAGGCTCTATACTAGCCCAGCATTTGAGGCAGGGCTAATATAGATTCAGATGTGGAATTCCATGTGCGTGTAACAGGCGGAGGAGGTGAAAAGGAGCAGAATGTAATAAGTTACTGCCACAAAAGCAGAGGAGCGCTGGGCATTGGTGGCGCACGCCTTTAATCCCAGCACTCGGGAGGCAGAGGCATGCAGATCTCTGTGAGTTCGAGGCCAGCTTGGTCTACAAAGAGTTCCAGGACAGCCTCCAAGACAATACAGAGAAACCCTGTCTCGAAAAAACCTAAAAAAAAAAAAAAAAAAAAAGCAGAGGAGCTTGAAGGGATCAGATGTTTGGATCCATGACCCAGTCTATCAGCCTAGCCACACCCATGCTTCTTCTTCCCTCTTGAATATAGAGGACTCCGTGACTCAGACACCCCCACCTTGCTCTTTGCAGTGGTCCTCCAAGTTAAGGGTTGCCTGAAGCCCTTTCACATTCCCAGCACTGACCCCTCCTTCCCACAGCCACCCTGTCCCCATTCTCTAGTAGCAGGTGGCTCAGGTGTCCTGTTCCGACTCCCTTGGTGCCCATTGCTAGGATGCCCATGAAGCGGCTACTGCTGACTTGATGGGAAAGTGGATCCCATCTTCAACTGCTCAGGCTGCATCTAGAATTGCAGCCAGGCTTGGTAAAGCTGTGCTGCTTCTCCCAGACATCTATTCAATCTCCAGGTTCAGGCTACACACCTGCCAGGGATGACGGTCCCATTCGTTTTTCGAGAGCTAGAAACTCTGAGACCTCGGGCTATCACTGCCTGCATCTGGATGTAGGAAGGGTTATTTAGTGGAATCTGCCAGCCTCAGGCAGGGGATTTTTCTTTACTGGCTTCCTGATAAGGGCTAGCAGAAACTAAGAGATAGGTGGATTGTGCTTTTTTTTTTTAATTGGTGTGGGCTGAACTCGAGCTGATTACACTTGCCCTAATAAAAGAAGGCACAACTTCCACCTCCCTGTGCATGTCCTCACGCAGTGAGCTTCCCCTGGGCCACAGAGGCTGCTTTTTTCCATACTCCTTCTCCCCCAAACCCTGCTCCTATGTGCTTCCCAGACTGGAACAGAATAGCCACCACTTGCACACCAAAGCTGAGCTTTTCCCTGGTACCATCAACCAGGGGCTTGTCCAGGTGAGCAAAGAGGAGGAAACTCTTAGGCTAGTCCCATTAGTTAAATGTTTTAGGATTATTGTTTTTACTCCTCCAATCTTGTGATCATTCCCACACTGTTCCTAAGTAGCAACAGCCAGAGGAGACTCTAGATGGTACTTGTGGAGGAGACTCTACATGGTACTTATGGAGGAGACTCTACATGGTACCTGCTGAGTGCATCTCACCTACTCACAGAGCCAGTCCTTAGCCCTGAAAGGGCTTTGTTTTGTTTTTATTTTTATTCTATGGATATGGGCATTTCACATGCATGTGTGTATGTGCTCCACTGGTGTGCTTGGTGCCCACAAAGTCCAGAAGAGGGTGTCAGATCACATGGGACTGGAAGTATGGGAGATTGTGAGCCACCATGTGGATGCTGGGAATCAAACCCAGGTCTTCTGAAAGAGCAGTCAGTGCTTTTTGACAACCAAGCCATCTCTCCCAGGCACTCTCTTAGCCCCACTTTACAGACGAGGAAATAGAGGCTCAATGAGATGAATGAATTATCCTGATGTTATATGTGTCACTGGTCATATATGTCAGTAGACTTTTGCTTGTCTCTCTATACTCCTTGGATCTCTCCTCCCTCATTCCCTAGTAGCTACCCCGTGAGCTGGCTAGCCCCCTTTCCTTAGATCTGTAGAAGACCCAACACCTTCACTAGTCTGTCTACCACTGTCTACCCAGTCATGAGTACTGCCTTCTCGCCCAGAACTCTTCATCAACCCTCCCAATCGTACATCAGGAGCCTTTCCCAAGCCCTCCCTTCAGGGAAGTGGTTGTGGCACAGCCCCAGGATGACAAAGATGCGTATGATTTGTCCTTTCAAACAGCCTTGCTTCCCGTAGGGCTGCAAGCCAGGAGACTCCACGAGGCAGCCTAAGTTCAGCCACGTGAGCTCCCTCCCCCTTCTACTGTGCAGACCTGCTGAATCCAAGCCTAGCAGCTTCAGCCACCCTCATACCCCACCCCCACCCGGGGCGCGCACGTCAGTGTGGGCTGAGGGTGAGGCTCCTTGGCATCTGCACAAACTTGTGCAGGGTAGGCATGCTTCTTACTCCATACAGGTACCGTAGCTACTGGTCTTTTTAATTGTGCAGCCTCTCAGATCATATGAAGTTCCCTTGCCCCTGCCCCCACCCCTGCTAGCAGTAACTTCTCCATCATTACTCAGCCGCCTTCTCATTGTTTCCAGATTCCGTGTGCCTTTGGATTTCCCTGTCCAAACCTCTCTCAGAACCAACAGGTTTGATTTTTGGTTGGTTGGTTTTGGGGGGGAAGGGACTGAACTTTTTTATCTGTTCTCTCTCTCTCTCTCTCTCTTTCAGGATTTATTTATTTGTGTATACACTTTTCTGCCTGCAAGTATGCCTGCAGGCTAGAAGAGGGCACCAGATCTCATTACAGATGGTTGTGAGCCACCATGTGGTTGCTGGGAATTGAACTCAGGACCTCTGGAAGACCAGTCAGTGCTCTTAAGGACTGAGCCATCTCTCCAACCCTCTGTTCTTCTTTTTGAGACAGGGTCTGTCTTGCTATGGATTGCCTGAAACTCACTGTTGTGGAACAGACTGGCTTCAACTTGTAGCTCTCCTCCTGCTCCATTTGCTAAGTACTGGGATTATAGGTGTGCCCCCAAACAGTTTACCAACAGCTTCACTGCCTATCAAAAGTGGGTGTCCATGAGTTCAATTCCAGGGATGAAGCACTGTTTATTTGCTTACTTACTTATTTTTGTTTTGTTTTGTTTTTGAGATAGGGTTTCTCTGTAGCTTTGGAGCCTGTCCTGGAACTTGCTCTGTAGACCAGACTGGCCTCAAACTTACAGAGATCCTCCTGTCTGCTGGGATCAAAGGTGTGTGCCACCACCTCCCGGCAGGATGAAACATTCTTAAGAAATATTTTCTACATATATGTGGGCTATTGTTCACAGAAGAGTTCAACCTAGAGTTAACCAACAACTAATCCAGAAGAGTTTTAGATGCTTTGCAGACCTCATGTGGGGAAACGTTGAGCTTAAATTAACATTACTTTACCTCTCAATGTGGAAGAGTCAGAAACTAGGCTTAAACACCTGTCTAGGCCACATGGCAGTCTGTGGGCTCAAGTCTGACAGCTGCCTGCCCTCTTTGCTATACAGGAATAACAATTCAGTTCAGACAAAAATTATAATTTGACCAAACCTTTTTTTCTTTTTTGGCTTTTGGGACCGGGTTTCTCTGTGTAGCTTTGGCTGTCTTGAAACTCGCTCTGTAGACCAGGCTGACTTTGAACTCAGAGATCTGCCTGCCTCTGCCTCCTGAGTGCTAGGATTAAAGGTGTGCACCACTGCCTGGCTCCACCTTACATTTTGAAAAAGTACAGTGAGACCTCTCACTGGACGAGAAGTCCATCGATTTGATTTGGCTGCCTCTGGCGATTAGCCTCGTTCCTGAGCTTAATGAGATTTAGAGTCACCTAGAAGAACAATAAGATCTTATAAACTATTTGCAGGGGTGGAGGTGGCGGTGGGAATGGCCAAGGCCAGCAGAGAGCTAAATCAGACAATGCTGACAAAGAGAACAAGGGATACCTCAGGCACAGCTGCCTTAGGACTGATAACAACCACCCAGGGGGAAGAGTCAGGTCCCCAGAAACTGCTGCCTTGATTCTTTTTTTTTTTTTTTTTTTTTTGGTTTTTCGAGACAGGGTTTCTCTGTGGCTTTGGAGGCTGTCCTGGAACTCACTTGGTAGTCCAGCCTGGCCTCGAACTCACAGAGATCCGCCTGCCTCTGCCTCCCGAGTGCTGGGATTAAAGGCGTGCGCCACCAACGCCCGGCTGCTACCTTGATTCTTAAAGAGGCACTAGCTCCACCCCTAGACCAGCATTGCCAAGTCCACTCTAGAGCAAGGACACAAAACTCAAGTTCCTTTTGTCCTTATACTTGGGGAGGCAGAGGCAGGAGGATCTGTGTGCTTGAGGCCAGCCTGGTCTACAGAGCAAGTTCCAGGTTAGTCAGGGTTACAGAGATAAACCCTGTCTTGAAAACCAAACCAAACCAAACAAACCGACAAACAAAAACCACACAGTCATTGAATCAGGTGTGGTGATAAACACCCTGAATCCCAATGCTCAGGAGGCTCTCTGGGAGTCAGAGACCAGTCTGACCTACATAATGAGTACTAGGTTAGTCAGGGCTGCAAAATGAGACCCTGTCAAAAACAAACAACAACAAAACAAAACAAAATTGTTATTGAGTCACCAAGTAAGCAATTCACGGAGTCCATGAAGCACATGAAGGTTCTCCCTATTGCCTTCCAGACCTGAGGCCCACCTCAGCCAGGCCACTGCAGACAGCACTTAGCAGCACAGTGATGGCTGCTCCCAGGCTTCCCGCAAGCTGGCACTCCAGACGTGCCCTGATCCCAGCAAACCCACCAGGATTGACTGGCATCCGGGGAGTTTAAACACCTCATCTCCTGCCCCATGGCTTCACTTTAAGAGGAACACAGTAGCTTTCCCTGGGAGAAGAAGGTAAGCACCTGTGCTCCCACCTCACCTCTCCCAGGCAGGGTGTATTCTGAGCTAGGGCAGAAGCCAAGAGGCAACCCCATAACAGCTTAGGACCCCGGTCTTCCTTGGGATGGATGACAAGACTTCTCTTGGGCAGGACATCTATCTCCAGTCTTTACCAGTGCCTGCTGCGTCTTCCACCGCCTCTCAGTTCTTGGCCAAAAAGAGCTGAATGTCCCCTGCTGAAGGCTGAGAAACATACTAAGTGCTCCTTGATCGCAGCTGTGACTGTGGCTTGAGCTGAATGTCCCCTGCTGGAGGCTGAGGAACATACTAAGTGCTCCTTGATCGCAGCTGTGACTGTGGCTTGAGTGGTTCATCTGGCCAGGGTGCTGTGTAAGTTTCCTCTGAGATGGAAGTGTTCCATCCTGCAGGGGAGCTCCTTAAGCAGGAAGGTAAGCAAGTCAAAGTAGCTTCAGGAAGTCCCTGACACTGAGCAGAGAGTTAAAATATAAAAGCTGAGAGTCTCAGAGAAAGTGATGCTGAGTCAAAAAAGAAGATTCTGAGGGGATTAAAGCTGCAAAGAAGACTCAGGCAAGAAGAACTGCCTGGAAGAAACTAGAAAGGACAATCTCTAACTTGTTGAACTGCATGCAGGCTGTGCAGTGTGCTCCAGGTTTCATAGCTTTGTGAATTGTCACCCATGCGCAAATGGCCTTTGTGATTCAATTGTCTGAGTTCTTCCTGCCCTGTAAGTAACTCCTCACTCATATTCCTGTAAGTAACTCCAATAAAACCCATTGTTTCACCAAGTTGGACTTTGGTGGTATCTGTACATTTGTTTCTTGTGGGTTTTCTATCTGGGGTGAATAGATGAGTGCTCTGCTTAATGGTATGTCAACTTGACCCAAATAGAGTCATCTGATAGTAGGGAACCTCAATTGAGAAAATGCCTCCCTAAGGTCCTGCATTAGGGCATTTTCTTAAGAAGTGATTGATGGGGGGAGGGCCCAGCCCATTGTGGGTCATACCACCCCTGGGCTGGTGGCTGTGGGTTCTATAAGAAAGCAGGCTGAACAAGCCAGGAGGAGTAAGCCAGTAAGCAGCTCCCCTCCATGGCTTCTGCATCAGCTCCTGCCTCCAGGTTCCTGCCCTGTTCCTGTTTTGACTTCCTTTGATAGTGAACAGTGCTGTGGAAGTATAAGCCAAATAACCCCCCCCCCCCCCAGGTTGCTTTGGTCATGTTTCAGCGCAACAATAGAAACCCTAAGTAGGACAATAAGTGTGTTTCGTCTCCTCAGGAAGTCTTGTCATACAACACAGGGACAGCACCAGGTTGCATGAGGCCTGGGCATTATAGGTTCCCACCTGTCTGTGAACAATATGGACAGATGATAGCAGAAGCAAGGCAGCCTGGCTCTAACTGCCACTCTGACTCTCTCAGATTAAGGTGAGGGTGAATGATGTGTCTTGGGCAGGATGGAATGTCTCTGTTTTTGTTTGCTGTGTCCCCAGCAAGTGAATACACTTTTCTTTCCCACGGCACCAGACCACCAGGGCTCAGAGTGGGCAAGAGCTTCCAGTCCCTGACCTACTTTCTTATAGGCATGCAGTCCTGTGCCTTCTTCTCAGGTGCTGTCCTTACCCAGACAGACGCTTGTCTTGATAGCAGTTGTCTGTTTAGTGGGGACTCTTTCATGACCCTCCCTTCATCCACAAAGTCCAGCACCTAGACTATCAAAGCCACAACCCAGCACAGCCCATTTTTCTGTGCCCTTCAGGGCACTCTGAACCAAGGGTAACTGCAAAATGGGGAAGATAATCAATGCTTTACCTACTTCACAACAAACCCCAATGGAAACTGAGACCCATAACTGATATATGTGCATTATGAATTACTACCTCCTACCCTCCCCCAGACTACCGTGAACCAACCCCAAGGCCTCATGCAGCCAAACAATGGTCTACCACCGAGCCATGCCCCTGTGTGTGCACGCTCAATCAAAAGAACCTACAATCACATAGTTTCATATTTATGGGTCATTTGTACAGGTATTAAAAAAAGAATTTCCAGTGCAGGGCATGCTAACACACCTTTAATTCCAACATTCAGGAGGCAAAGGCAGTCAGATCTCTATATGAGTTTGAGGCCAATCTGGTCTACATCATAAGTTCCAGGTTAGCCAGGTCTACATAATGAGACTCTGTTTCCATACATTTTTTTCTTGAGAGAGTTGGTTTTTTTGTTTGTTTAGTTTTGGTTTTCCGAGACAGGGTTTCTCTGTGTAAACAGTCCTGGCTGTCCTGGAACTCACTTTGTAGACCAGGCTGGCCAGGAACTCACAGAGATCCGCCTGCCTCTGCCTCCCAAGTGCTGGGATTAAAGGCGTGCACCACCACCTGAAGACTGTTTTTTTCTCTTGACTGAGGGGACGAAGCTAGGAAGACCTAAATCCTAAGGACTATGGCAGGAATCCTTGCAGTTCAGCCTGAGGACAATGGGAACTACTGACAATTCTTCAAGGTGTGATGAGGTCACCTACCACTTACTTCAGGCTTGAAGGAGGGTGAGCTCAGAAGAGCTTGGGTAGCTAAGTGAAAGTAGGAGGACCACTCTCCTCCTTTTCAAAAGCATGAGAAACTTCAGAGGAGAACATGAGGAATAGTCCCTTCCCTCCTCTGCTGGTCTGTCCTTACCCAGATCCTACCATGGGGTCTGCTGTGGTTTTGTCTGATGCGTCACATAACAAACAGAATATTCAACTTGCTCAGTGCTTTATTGAACCAAGGTCCTAACACAGGACTCACAAGGGCCTTCCAGCATGACTTTCCCATGTGTAGATTGTAAACCCAGAGGTTGCTTGGTTTTGTTATTAGCTGCTTCCATGACAATGTTCCTTTAATATTTCCAAATACTAAGTGTAAAGACTTTGTGTACACACACACACACATACACACACACACACACACCCTGCCATAGGCCATCACGCTCACCAAAATTCTTCCACCCAGTTTGTGTGCATACATGTGTGCAAGGCGCTGTGCATTCACGACCACCCAGCCTCCTGTTCATCTACAACAGGCCCAGGCTCAGTCACTAGTACAGCAACACAGAAAAAAACAAAACAAAAAAACCCACACATACACTAAGAGGCCTTCTGGGCCAGACATGGTAAGGACTCAAGGGAGGAGAGGGAGGGAGAAGACAAGTGTCAAAAGGGACGCTCAGCGACTGTCCTGCACAGCAGCAGGCTCTGACCAGCGAGGCTCTGGGGTTCACAGCATCAGGGAGGGGACTCCGAGATGCTCCTGAATTAGGCCTTTGCCCTTGCCTTGGGGGCATTAAAGGAGAAGATCCCTTTCTGGGCTAACAAAAGTCAGGCCTACAGAGTATCGATATTTGAATCTCTAACCCCCAGATGTATGAGGGGGCCTACTCAGCTGCCAGTGTGTCCCAGAACAGGCTAAGTCAGACAAACAAAAATAAAAGCTGCAGGTAAGACAACAGGAAAAGGTAAGCGCTGAAGTTTTCAATGGAGATGCCTGTGCAAAGGCCAGGAGAGGACAGTAAACCCAGCCCTGTGCAGAAGCTGCTCCCAGACCACCCAAGGAGCTACTGGGCTCATCCTAAAGGGCTGAAGGTCTCCCCACAAAGGAGGCTCTCTGAACACAGGAAGACAAAGAGTTAATACAAACAAGGAAAAAGGACTGTAAAAGGCTCCCATGAACACAAAGCACTTCCTCCTAGCTGGTATCCACCCATCAGACTGGGCTCTTCGAGATGGGGCTGGCACCAGGATAAGGAAAATTAGTGGAGTAAGACAGGAGAATCAAGGACAGGGACAGATAAGATGTGACACTATACCATTTCCCTAACACCCAATAGCACCGGAGGCCTCTAGTAGGTAGGTGGACTCATAGGCCCATAGAACCCACTGGCTACCAGGCCCCACGAGGTAAGGATGGCAGCAGGACTCATCACTGGTCTTGCAACCTGCTACAGAGTTCCCTCCGGCTCCGCTCTCCAGCCCAGCTTCGTGTCTTGAGGCGGAAGGTTCTCAGCTCATCCCTGAAGGCCTTGTGGTTCATGGGCCGGTAGTTCTGGGGCTCACAAAAGTTCTAAGGGAGGATGAGAAGATGAAGAGTCCATCAGTATGGGAGAAAGAGTAGGTTGTGGGGGCGGGGCGAGCCTTTCCTTCTTTTTGGTCTACAGCCTGGCTGCGCCCTGTCCCTACAGTCTGAGTCAGTAGAGCTGTACCGGATGCTGTGGGAAGAACTCCTTGTAGCCGCCTTTGAGGATATACATCTCAGGGTAGTACAGGCTGGGGTAGTCGTTAGCTGCACGGTCCCGTTCCCTGACGAACCGGCACCTGGAGCAGCATGGGAAGGGGTTCAGGGCAGGAGACATATCAGAATGAGACCCATGTCTTGTACATGCTGCTTTGGGGGTCTCCAACGGCACAGAGCACAGAAATGTCATCTATTAGGTTGACTGGCTACTAGGTAGGAGACAATGGGGTGAAGACAGAGGTAAATCAGGAGTGGCCACTGTTTCTGGAAGGCAGTCACATAACCTTGGTTAGAACACTCTATGACATGTACCAGGAAAGAGGAAGCAAGAAAGGTGACCAGTGAACACAATACAAGGTCCACTCAGAACCTGGTCTGGTGACACAAGCCTGTAATCTTAGCTACATAGGATTCTGAGGGATTGCAGGTTCAAAACCTGCCTGAACTATAAAAAGAGCTCAAGGACAGCCTGAACATTTGAGGAAGACCCTGTCTCAAAATAAAAGGTAGGGTTGGGTAAGAGCACCTGCTGAGTAAATGTAAACCTAGGACCTGAGTTCAAATCCCCTGAACAACAAAAAGCTCGTAACCCCAGCATTGGGGGTGTGGGGGGTAAAAACAGGAGGATCAGTTGGAGTTAGATGAAGGTCACCATGCCCAAGTTCAGTAAGAAACCCTGTCTCAAGGGAATAAGGTAGAGAGTGTACGGCAGTATGTGAAATACTGCCTTCTGCATGCATGTACCTATATGCACATATGAATATACCACATGCATGTATACCACAAAAAGGCACTCTCTCTACACACACACACACACATACACATTTAAAAAGTAACAATCTAAATAAAAAGGAAAGGGAGGGCTGGGGGTAACCCTCCCTGGTAGAGTGATTTCCTAGTGTATGTGATGACCAGGTTTGGTCACTAGCACAGCAACAAAGGAAAAAAGCACACATGCTCCAGAGTCTCCTGGACCAGACGTGGTAAGGACTCAAGGGAAGGAAGGGGAGGAGGACAGAAGGATCAAACAGTGAGGCACAGAGACTAGTCCACTGCCCAGCAGGGGCCATGTGCTGGAACCCCAGAGGACAGGGGAATGCAGCAGAGAGGAGGCCCCTGTATAGAGAATGGCAGACACAGATTCCAGCCCACTAAGAAGCTACCAGATACCACACCCTGGACCAGGAGACAAGGGAAAAGCCAGAAAAGATCAATAATGGAGGAACAAGGGAGAGACAGGTGAAGGAAGGCTAAGGGCCCAGTGGTAACCAGCATGGGAACAGGATACCAAATAAATGCCTGAGTGTCACTGAGAATGTGGTTTAGAAAGGGTCCTCAGATTTTAAGGACACTGCTAGACTTGGCATCAGTTTTTGTTGGGGAGCAGCAATGGATGAAGGATGGTCTGATGAGGTGGGCAGAAAGAAGGCAATGGGAAGACATACTGTTCATAGTACGAGAGTGAGGTAATTTCTAAGCCATCAGAGACAGCAAGAGGCTCTAGCACTCAGTTCTGGGCAAA